AGAAAAGAGATGAAAATACTTATACCTAAAATGTCGCTAATTAAATGGGTTGTTTATTTACAGAATTGTATTAATTATTATATTTATTTTTCAGTACGTATGGTAATGTTGTATAAACGCGTGTGAAGAAGAGAAATGTTAGAAGCGAATGACGCAAACGTTAATCTCAAATGTGTCTGCGCTGTTTGGCATGGCCACGGAGTAGGGTATATTATTTGAGCAGAGAAGTGTTCTACACATTAGTATATAGATACTATAGTATGTATCTATTTTAAACAGAAACATTTAACAGCAGGTGTAATAATTTAGAAATGACAAAAAGCTTCGAGGCTATGGAAATTGAATTTTTGAAAGTAAATATAAGATCAAAGCTAAAAATAAAATCGAAATTGTTTTGTTTTTTTACGATTAAACACGCACCTACCAATAGCCCAATATTAGATTATCCATGTCTTATATCAGTCGATCCTCTATGTACTACACAGTGGAATTTTCATGTTTTAGTACGGTAGACTGCCCGTGTCATAGCGTAGATAGATAAAAATAAGACTACACTGGTAGAGACCAGGCCTAATAAGGACGGTGGTAACTTGACGGTAGACGATTTGGTGCGAGAGTATGTGCGCGTGTTTAGTAAAATATTTGTAGCGTGAGTGACAAGTTAGCTTGACGCGACATTGTAATCGATGACATAGGACGCAGTGAAGACATTTGGGGTTTAGTCATAGTAGAAAAAAAAAACGTGTTTTTTTATCTAGCAGTGTAGTTCTCGTTCGTTCAGTTTTTTAGTTAATAATAAAGTTAATTCTATTTTATGATCGAAGTTGTTGATGTCGTTAGAGTCGTCGGAAAATAAGAGTGTTTCCGCCACATGTTTATAGTTGGAGTATTAGTATTAGAAGATGTTATTATATATATATATATCAGATAACACGCATACAAATACCCCCATCACAAAATGCTGTCTATTTACTATCAAAATATAAATGTTTATTTTAAAATGTTATTACTACGCGGAGGGGGAAGGTTAATACAATTTAATATTTAATCTATTATTATTAAATTTTGTCATTCCGTCTTCCCCTTAAAGCCGTTGAAATATTGATTAGGTATATAGTTGATAAAATATAAAGTATCAAAATGTAAATAACCGAAAAAGTACAATGGAGTCACAATTCTTTAAAAGGTACCATTAAATTAAACGTCAGTAGATAATGTATTGATTAATTAATGGAAACTTTGTGCATATGTTGATTGAAAAATCGATATAATCTACTAATGTGCTATTTTAGTGTGTAATCAATCGGCGTAATCGTGCGTTATATTGCGTAGTAAAGAGTCATATCTTCTGCCATTAGATCTATCAGAATCGCTAAGTGTCTCTTTGGTTATAAACATGCACTACACATGCACACACAAACATATAAAAACAAACACACACACATACATCTACACATGAATAAAACAAAGAACCCAGTTATCTGTACTAGTTTCTCTGTAATAGATATATTTTCGCAAGACAAGATCATAATCTATGTACTAAAAACATTGTACCTTTAGTCGTTATGTTACCTGCAAAGATAGAACATTGATGTATGGCAAACGTTCAGTTATTGTATTGTTTTGATTTTTCAATGACTAATAAACATCAGACGTTAATTTCAGTCTTTCTTGATCAACTGTTGAAATGTGTATGTTAATGCTGTTTAGATACTTCTAAAAATTGTATTCATCTAATTTGTATTCGTAATTGCCATATAAAAGTGACCATCCTTCAATACTAAGAAAGTATGATGAGTTGATGTGTCCGACAACGCAGTACAGAAGTTTTATTTTTTGAAAGTATTTTTTATGCTTGGTTTTTTCTCGATGCCTAATATATATTTTACTTCAACATATTTAACAAGTTCATTTTAAAAAATCCAGTTAGTTTCAAATGCTTATGCAATAAACCTTGTCGTATTGATTTATCTTTCGCTTTGTTAGGAAGACAAGGTTATAGAATGTCAAAAACATAGAGCCACAACATAGTCTTTAATCGATATGGTTCACTGACAATTTTTACAGGTTATTTTTAGAGTTTATTAAAGGGTCGTAAGTAAATAAACATATATTTATTCGTGTAAGATATCGTTGCAATTTTTAATTTTGATGTTATATTTAGTGAGAGGAGAAGCATATTTAGTGCAATGTGACCTAACAGATGATACGTGCATTGAAAAAAACAATTGTGAAAATGTATTTATTATCTTTATTTCAATCGTTATATTTATCATTGTTAACACGTTTTTATTAACTCAGCTTCGCGTGTGTTTGTTTGTTGTTAAAATTGACATCGAAAATTAGCCCACTTCTGATTGCTCTAGAGATCTGAAATTTGGCATGCAGGCTACTTTCGCCTAACAATTTCAGATGCAATCATAAAAACTAGCAATTAGAGACCGTAATTAGCTTAATTTAATTACGCCCTAAGGACCATAAAATTGAGGACATGATTTCTAAAGATACCGACAAGACTGAAGGCCTATTGACACAGTTACTTCGGCCCCAATCGATGTGAGCGCGCTGGCCGTGATCGTATAGTGGTTAGTACTTCGCGTTGTGGCCGCGACAACCCAGGTTCGAATCCTGGTCGCTCAAGATTTTTAGTCCGTGTATTTATAAACACTTAGTCAAGTCATACTTAATCAAGTCATTGGATAAAGTAGAAAATAAACTATATAAAAAAACTTTTTTTAAAAACCACGTTTTTCATGTGTAGCAACGGACTAAAAAGGAGAAAATAAAATACTTTAAAAAACTTAAAAAAAAAAACACGTTTTTCTTGTGGACTAAAAAGTAGAAAATAACTATTTACATACATTTGATGACAAAAAACGTGGGTCGGGCAGATGGGTCGGGAAATTTGATGGTGAACGTACCCACGTTTTTTGTCATCAAATGTATGTAAATAGTTATTTTCTACTTTTTAGTCAACAAGAAAAACGTGGTTTTTAAAAAGTTTTTTTTTAAGTATTTTATTTATATTCTTGACCTAGCTAAGCCATTCACCCAGCAGGGTTTAACATCATTTTAGGGAGGAGGTTATGTACATATTAGTGAAGTCTGAGTTGGAGATTCTTGAGCTTGGGAGAGGGGTTAATTTTCTAGATGAGGTTGGGGGGGGGGGTTAATTGGTAAAGGGAGGGTGGAAAACTGACAGGGGGTTTATTGTTCCTAGCCCTAGCCCTAGCCCTAGCTAGGGGGGTAATGTCCTACTTGGCTGGGGGGATTTGACAGAGGTGTAATCAATCCGGGTGGGGGAGGGGGGCTAACGTCGGAATGTATATGCCCAGGGGCAACTGACGTGGGGTAATGCCATGTTGCCATATTTTAAGGTATATTGCACGTACCATAAGATAAAGGCCCAGTTAAAATACTTAATTTCAATATGCGCCACTTGTAAGAACATATTAAATGTAATACACTACGTAATGTCTTTTAGCGCGCCAGATAGTATTTAAATTCAATCAAATGAAAAAAATAGTTTAGCAATCACGTGTATTTTTCCAAATTATTCTGGCTGTTAGCCAACCGACAAGTTATGTTTCTGTTTGATTAAGGTCATTTTTATATTCCTGATTCTGGAAAAATCCCGACCTTAATAAACTAAACTCAAAGAAAAAGGTAAGGTATAATTTTAGTACTGAATCAATAATTAGCGATCAGTTTGAATTTCCGTTCGTTGGGTTATGTAAGGATTTTAAAAAGAAAAGAAATTACGTTAGTAAAAATTGCAATTTATCGAGGGTTCTCTCTCTGTAGAAGCAAGGGGTATAACAGTTTGACCAGATGGAAAAATAAAACGGCACACGAGATTTATTATTAGGACTATAATAATTTCAAGCTTAAAATTGTTGCAAAAAGGAAATACACATTTTTAAAATCATATTTAGCGTATGTCAGATTTATTGCAGTTAAAAAAACAACCGAAGGCAAATATTTAGTAATGATAATGTAATTACAGAACTGACAAAAAACAGAACTGGTAATTAAAATATTATAAAGCCAACCTGGAAATCTTATTATGATTAATTTTTCATTTCATTTTTACGTTAGCCCTAATAACATTATTTCCTACATCATGTACATATTTAAGTTTCACCAGATATAAAGATATAAATATGTACATGCATTTCGCCTAGGAATACAATGTTGGATGCACCTTCAGAACAAAAATCATAGTGTCTCCTGCAAGCTTATCGGATAAGAATATCATAATTTAACTTTACATTAAGATCCCTCTCAATCTTTCCATTTACTTGAATAATACACATTAATTATAAGCATGAAATCACTTTTGCCGTTATCTACAGAAACTAATAACGGAAACCTCAGACAAACTGAAATAAGGAAAATTGGACTCACAAAGTGGACTTGAAGGTAAAATTATATAAACATTAAATTCATTGATGTGAACTCTGATGTAAATTTCGATTGCAGAACCCCCAAATTTCTATTTGGTTTTAAACGTTTCTCTCACGGATGTGTTGCTGTACCCAGCTATCTAAACTCTTATGTCCAGGGACTATACTTCTAGAATTGCGGGTTAGCAAATGTTATTGGCTGACTTACTTGACTACTAGCTAATCAATAAAATAAGAGTTGATACTATAGAAAAAAAACAGCTCTCTCTAACCCCAGATTAAGTCAAATGTCATAGCTCCTCTCTTTGCAGTACAGTATAATTATACTTTTCTCTAAAACACAGATACAACATATCACATTTGTTAACCCGATTTACACCATCCACCGCATATGAAATTGCAATCAAATTATTTGCCAATACCACCCTCTGACTGTATACGATAACCAGCAACGAAGTCATTTTTTGTCTCTTGGTTTTTGCTGACGTCAACAACAAGACATAATTAAAGACAAGAACGGTTTTTCCCAAATATAATTAGGTCGTATCAATTTTTTGCATTGTCTGTATAGAACACTGAACAGACAGACCATCCAAGAGTCACAGTGTAAACCAAACCTACTTCAATACGTTAAGTTTAACACCTGGTATGTGATGTGTATTATTTTATTATGGAATTTCAATGTAAGTATGAATAAAATCTATATAGAATATGAATGTTGTATATTGACAATTTAAAACATTACTATTTCAGTGGTTGAATTATTCAACTTACATACTTTATTTTAATACTTTTTACTTTCTCGTATAGGCCTACGAAGTACAGAGAAATTATTGTAATAGTGCAAAAAAATCGATAAATTTTCAAATATTGACGATTTACACCTCCCTTCGTAGGAAAAGCATAGTTTTGCAATCTTGTCCGTATGTCTGAGTATATGTAAGTGTGTGTGTGTGTGTGTGTCTGTGTGTGTGTAAAAACGATGAGTACCGTTGCAGCTAGATTGATGACATTTCATTTACAAGTATTACTTCAAATTTATAGATCTGTATCAACTTTTCAGCGATTTACGATAACCAGAAGTGAAACTTTTTCTACTTTCAATTTTTCAAAGCGTATAACTTGAGTACAATTTGAGATAGATAAATAAAATTTCACATATAAGTAAAAGATCTAATTATCTGCCTTTGTCTGAATGATGAGTAATTTCAGTCGACAGGAAGTAGTAATTTTCGCTATTTCCGATTTCTCCAAAAAAAAAAACGCATTTGAATTTAAAAGTACTAATAATATTCCGCACTATTATACACATTTTGTTTGGCGTTCACATGGTGCGCAAAATTCTTTTTTTCTAAGCGATTCTATCCTATTTTAAAAGTTTAAGTAATTAATAATTAAAATTAGTTTAACAATAATGTTTTTGTCCCAAGTTGCCATCCCCCGTAGTATTATATAAGCATATTCGAGAAAATTTAGAAAAGATCCCTCCCGATTTATTTTGTCAACAATGGGAAAGTAAAACATTATGTTAAAAAGCTTGACAAGATTTATTGATGCCCTACACTTCTGTTTTGCCTTGTTGTATGTATATATAGATTGTCAACACTTAACACATTTATCCATTGTTTCACCATAAATAATCATTTAACAAGAACTTTACGTTTCTTGTGACGTTTGTGTAAAGATCTAAATGGGGCCATTTATTGCAAGCGTCCCACTTACGGGACGCTTGTTGTACATTAATAAAAGTAAGTAGTTTTAAAAAGAGATTATTTTTAACATTTTACTTCATAAAAATATTTTACTGCTACACGTTTCAAATGAGTTTTGCAGTTAAAGTTATTAATGTTTTGAAGATTGTACACTTATGTGTGCTCGTGTTTTATTTTTTCCGCTACTTTGATAAGTTTTGCGAAACCGACGTTATAATATTTTCTAAATCAAAATATAAAAACACACGCAAATGCAATAGTCTAACAATTTCCAAATAAAAGAAAAATAATGTATGTATTATAAAGTAGTTAATTAAAATAAGTATGTTTTATATAGGAAATGTGTTAATGATAAGCACTTAAGAGGTTTAAATTATTTTATATAAAATGAGTATGCATGATTGCTATGTCTACATAATCTTATGTATTGCTCCACAGTCTTAATAATGATAATCCAAGCACAAAGGCTGGACCCTAAGTTGAGAAGAGTCGAATGTTTATCATGTATCAGGCCTCCTCTCTTCACACAGCTAATAGACCCAAGGGATATGCAGTAACCCGTTGAGCTTAGAATCAGCATTAAAGTAAAGCTTTCTTTATTAAACATCATAAATTGGTATACAATTATACTGACGTAAAGTTAATTCTACAGATATTATTAAGTTTTAATCTTGCTATTTTTCATCACCTTAATTATGAAATCCTTACTTATTTTTTGTATGTTTATCTACAGAAATACTAACAACGGAAACCTTAATTAAACTGAAAGAAGGTAAACTGGACTCACAAAGTGGACTTGAAGGTAAAACCATATAAATATTAAATCATTGATGGGAACACATATTTTGGTAATAACGTTTAAAAGATAATATGACATTGTAAAGCAAATACTTTGTCGTCCATTTTTCAATAACTAAAACATTTTTGTAAAAGTAGAGTATAGATGATTTATACTATATACAATTATTGTTTTAAAATATATGTATGTGTTTTTTTAGGTGCATCATATGCTAATGGTCCCGGTAAAGTTACCGAAACTAACCCAACAGTTCTCTTTCATCCAGGTGAGATATGACAAATACAATCTCAAATCTAAACAATTGTTAATATGTCCTAGTGTAAACGTCTAGTTGATTTTATTAAATCTGATAGTGTTAGGCAATGTAACCGTTTCTTTTTTAAATTTGTGTAGGAAATCATGAAGCTCAGATGTGCTATGAAGGAGAAGGTGATCTACACAAACATGTTACTGGCTGTAAGAAGAATCCAGGTCACAAAGGTTTTATACCTCTTAAAGATTTTAACGCAAGTTGTCTCCCCTCACGTTACCATGACGATGACCTCATGTCTGAGACAATTAAAACATTTGCAGCCCTAACTGTCCAGGTAAAGACTCAATTCACCAGTCTAAAGAGACCAGAGTTTTACCCAGGTACTCAAGATCTATATCCATTTTATAATGACAAAGGAAGTCAAGTGATGAGGTTAGGGACAGGGAGGATTTGTTGGGCGGACAAGTATACAGATAGTAAAGAAACTTGTCGTTGTTCCAAGTGTCAAGTCTCTGCAACACCCAGCAAAGTGTGGGGTGAGATTTGTGTGTTGACATCCGCACACGTGGTGTTTGATGACAGTGAGGCGAGACAGACCAGCTGTATTTTAGGTTTTGATGATAATACAAGACCAGGGGTCAGTCTTGATGGCTGGAAGGTGGGTGGGGCAGAAATTGAGAGAGACAGGTGTGTATTGATTTATGTAACATGTGACTCAAATGCCTTAGAGCTGGTTGATGAAATGGACACGGTGTGTCAGCGCTTCTATAGTCTTTGTGAAAAAGTAAAGGACAAATACGGGAGATTTATTGATGACGACAAGTTGACCGTTATAGTGTCACATCCTCATGGCTGTCCTAAACTGGTCTCTGTAGGACAATGGACACGCAAAGAAGAGAGGGTTGATGGCCATACCTGGACCAGGTACTGGTACACAACAAGCACATGTCCTGGCTCCAGTGGAGCGCCTATATTCATGCTGGGATATTGCGGGAGGTTGTATCGACATTCCCACAGTGCATCAAACTCGGAAGGAAATTATAGTGGGGAGTGGAGAGGCTGATGTAAATGACAGTTCCTTCCTGGTGTCTACATAATTTAAACACACATATTGGTGGGACTTATTATTTGATTGAACTGTTTCTGTCATAACGTTATGTTATTACATATAAAACTAATTTAAACATGTTGTAATTGTTATAAATTTATTATCTATCATTCTATTTGGTGTTACAAATGTTTTATTTTTAGTATAAATTATTTTTCCTTAACTAATATCGGCTAATTGTTTTCTTAGAAATTAACCTTTTTTAATTGGTTAGCCTAGTGTACCCATTAAATGTCTTGTATTTGTCTTAACAAATTGTACATACATAGCATTTTAATACTTAAAAAATAAAACATATTTCCTAATTTTTGGTTCAATTATTTTTGGCTTAACGGTTTGTTGAATTATAAATGATTTTAATATATATTTCTAAACAATTAATGTTTGGACAACTGTAGCTCTATATATTTTAAAATAATTTTAAAAATAAAGTTCATGTTTAACATTTAAGAAAACAGCTTAGGAAGAAAAAATGTAACAACACAATAATATCTTCTTACTTTATTCAAACTACGATCTGGAGTCGAGGAATACGCACTTAAGAATTATAAATGGTTCTTCTACTGTCTTCTAGCGCTGAATTTAATTAATCAGGCTTAATGAGATGTCCTCATAACAAGACAGGCCTTCACCTGGAATCCACAAGGCAGGAGGAGGAGAGGCAGACCAAGAAAGACCTTGAGACGTGACCTGGAAGAAGACACCAAGAAGATTGGATACACCTGGGGACAGTTGGAGAGACTAGCCCTGGACAGAGACGTCTGGAAAGCTCTTGTCAGCGGCCTATGTCACAGTAGGGACGACAGGCAAACCTAACCTAACTAACCTAATGATGTCCTACCATTCAATCATAGTTGTTACATCACATCTACCTGATATTTCACAATAAGTCTACCTGTCTTGTCACTTTATAAGATCCTGAATTCTCACAATCTCTGATATACCACAATAACTTTAAGCTGTCATAATATATCTACTTGATATGTTCAAATAGGGCTACGTGGTTTCTCACGATACATCTGTCATATTTAACTCTGTTTTAATATACTGTGTTTCAAAGTGTGTGGAATCTTCGTTAACATGTTCAAGTACTTTCATTCATTGTTTTTGGCAACATTCTAGTTAACACAGTTAAATCAAGTATCTATCTGATAGTCAGCAAAAGGTGCTATAACTGGAATCTTGTAATGTTCTGGTTGGTAGTTAACAGCAAGACAATTGCTAAGTGAGGGAGGATTTTATGTTCTCCTTAAAGTTGTTAAATATAATTTATAATTAAATCTTTTATTATTTTATTTTGTTATCCCGCCTTACCCGTAAATTGCAGTTGATATATTGAGTATATAACTGATAGAATAAATACATTTTCAAAAGGTATATACCTTATAAGGTTACATTTAAAATAATAGTCTGTTGAAAATGCTGTATTAACAAATTAATGGAAACTTTATTTTATGCACACGTTGTTTAAAGCATAATAAAAGCTATTAATGTTTCTATTTCTTGTGTAACCAGCGTAATCGTTTGTTATATTTGTTGGTAAAAATCCATATATTCTGCCATTAGATCTATCAGAATCAGAAAGAGTTTCTCTTTGATTATAAACATGCACAAACGCACACAAACTCACGCAAACACAACAAACACACACAAACACATACAAACACACAAAACAAGTACACACAAACACACACACACACGCGCGAATAAAACAAAGTAGCTGGTCAAATGTACTGGTTGCTCTATAATAGATCTCTTGTTGCAACACAACTCCAAGGAACTAAACAACATTCTTATGTAAGCCTTTAGACATATGTCTATTGAATTGTATGGATTTTTCAAATGACTTAGCATTTAATTTTTGACTTTCTTGATCAACTGCTTAAATGTGTATCTTAAAGCCTAGATGCGTTTAAAAATTGTATTCGTTTAACTTGTATTCGTAATTATAATATATCGGCAATCCTTCAACGTTATAAAACTATTACTTGTCAAAACTTTATGCCATGTACAGCCAGTAGACTACACCATCAGCCGGTTTTGTATTCTGGATGTTCTTCCAAAGCAGTAAACTGCTCAAGAACAAACTTTACGGTCAAAGTTGTTTTGTCTCGGAGTTTCATCCCATAGATGGTTTGCTCGCCCGAGGTAAACATGCCTCATATGCTCGGGGACTAAACACGGGACTTTTGGACTTATTTATTTTCATTTTCATTTAAGCATTTTTACTTTCTCGTATATACGAAGTTTAGAGAAAGTCTTGTAATCGTGCAAAAAAAAAAAAATCGAGATTTTTACAAATCTCGACGTTTCACACCTCACTGATACGGAAAAACATAATTTTGCAATCTTGTCCGTATGTCTGTGTGTCTGTCTGTGTGTCTGTCTGTCTGTCCGTGCGTAAACACGATAACTTGAGTACCGTTACAGCTAGGTTGATGAAATTTCATATATAAGTATTTAATCAAAATCGTAGATCCGTATCAACTTTTGAGCGATTTCCGATAACCGGAAGTGGTACTTTTCCTACTTTGAATTTTTCAAAAGCCTATAACGAGTACTATTTCAGATAGATAAATGAAATTTCATACGTAAGTAAAAGATCTAATTCTCTACCATCTGTTAAATTTTGAGTCATTTCCGTTGACTGGAAGTAGTACTTTACGCTACTTCCGATTTCTCAAAAAACTAATGTAAATTTTAAAAGTAATAATAATATTGCGCACTATTATGCGCTTTTTCATTTGGCGTTCACTTGGTGTGCAATTAATTTGTCTACGAGATTTTATTCTATTTTTAAAACTTTAAGTATTTAAAATGGATTAAAAATCATGTCTATAGCCCGAGTTCCCATCCCCTGTTATTTTATATAAGAATATTCGAGAAAGTTTAGAGGAGATCACTCCCGGTTTATTGTCTATATTTTAGGACATAATTTGTCTTGTTTATTTACTTAACCATATTCATAATTATTTAAAATGTTTATGGAATAGAACCGATTTGTTTTTTCTTTTCGAAGAAGATAAGGCTATAGAATGTCTAACACATCGAGCCACCACATAGACTTTAATCGATATGGTTCACTGCCAATTTTTACATGTTATTTTTAGAGTCCATTCAAGGGTTGGCAGTAAATTAACATATATTACTATTAATTCGAAGGTAGGGGGGGGGGGGAGAGGGAGGGGACTATTAGGGGTGGAACGCCTCAACCAACGAAGTACGTGGTGGAGAGGGGGCCCTGGGTGAGGAATATTACGAAATATTTATTAAGATTTTCTTAAAAAAGCATTGCAGATATTAGATATCGTTGCAATGTTTTATTTTGTCGTTAGATTTAGTGAGAGAAGAAGCATATTTAGAGCCATGTGACCATATAGATGAAATGTGCGTAGGGAAAATTTGTGGAAAAATTATTTATGCGATTTATTTGAATCGTTAAATTGGTTATTATTTATATGATTCACCCAGCATGGCCACCCACACCCAGCAGAGCTGGACATCATTTTATGAGAGAGGGTTATGTATACGTTAGTGAAGTCTTACGACAATGAGGTGAAGTCAAACTGGTTTGTACAACTTAACGTTATTAATAAAATACATTGTTAAGAAACAAACTACAGAGACACTAAAAGGTTTATTTCTAGATAGGTTCGACATAAAATTGAGACAATGTAGTGGAAAGACAAAATTGGTACGATTTTATAAATGCTTTCGTCTAAATTCATTTTTAAGCTTCTTTTGCAAATCGCCCACTTTATGTTTTAAGCTACGATTAGCAGTGCTTAAAAATATGAATATTTGTGTATGTATGTTTTAATGTGCGAAACTATGTGCCATACGCAATTACTACTGCAGATGATTACAGACTGTTTTCTTTATTAACGACTTGACATAGAAGTGTCACATTTAACCTTAAAAAACTCTTGTTACGTCTTCATAGTAGTCTATATATTGTAAAACACACCTTTCTTAATATGGTGTTACCTTCGGGAATTCCAAACAACTAATTTATTTTTTGTAAAGATTTATTTTTAGCTCGGTGCTGGCAGCGTTTGTAGCCTAGAGCTACAGGTAAACAGAACACCCCCACCCCACTACGTCACCTAAATCAATGAGTACTAGAACAATAGGTGTTTCAATTTACAGCTATTGACAACGGTGTGCCTGTTGCTCCAGCTTTATTCTTGATAAGTTTTAAACGTCTTTTATATTTTAAAATTTAGTTATTATATATATATATATATATATATATATATATATATATATATATATATATATATATATATATATATATATATATATATAAATATATATATATATATATATATATATGTTTATGTGTATATTTTTACAATATTTTCCTTTCAACGTCTCCATTTAACAGTAATAAATTGCCCAGTAGTTTTCTCTCTATAATTCTTGAGTAACTGATTTTAAAAATAATGCCTAGAAAGGCTCGCATTCTATCATTAAACAATTTGGTTTTTGCTAACACGAGTGTGGACTGCATTTTAGGTCATATCATAATGACAATAATGAAATAACATCAATAATTTGTAATCAAGTATCACATTCCCAAACAATCCAGAAGATAAAAATTTTAGAAAGATGAGATAAAAAAACAAATTAACATTATATGTCCTTATGTATTTAACTGTTTGTTTTAGTATGTTACACATATCTTAAGATGGTGCGAGGCCCTTTGACCACATGTGTTTTGACCATAGGGGTTTGACCATAATCGCTTTTGCCACAGTGGGCTTTGACCATAAGAGCTGTGACTACATGGGGTTTGACCACAGGTGTTTTCTCCGCAGAGGGTCTTTGATTACATGTGGTTTGTCCAATGCGGGCGTTTGATAACAAACGCCTTGTCCATATATGATAAGGATTAATGTTAAACATTGGAATTAAATACACATGATTGGCGATGGTTTAGTACGAACAAATATCATTTGTGAAGGATAGCATTACATCCTACAGTCGCTCCTCCAATGTAGCCCCTATGGTCAAATCCCATCTGTGGTCAAAGCCCCGCTGTGGACAAACCCCTATGGTCAAATACCCTATGGTCAAAGATCCGCTGTGGTCAAACCCCTTATGATCAAAGCACCTGTGGTCAAAGCATCTAAATAAAATACTGAGATTTCAAAATAACAAACGCTTTTGTAAGAGTATAAATATTTACAATTTAAAAGTAATACACTATTTAAAACTTGAAATCAATAAAATGAGAAAAACAAATTGGCACAAACATATATTTTTTACAAATTCCCCTGGCTGTTTGCCAACCGACGAGTTATGTCCTCTTTACGTTACGTCAATGCTTTTATTCCCAACTCTGGGACAAGTACGATCTTAATACATTCAACACAAAGAAAAAAGTAAGATTTATTTTTAGCAATGGATCAATAAGTATCGATCAAGTTGAACTTCCATTCGTTGACGTAAGTAAAGATTTTAAGAACAGAATAAACTATGACTGAAGGAGTCTAATTTATAGACGGATCTCTCTCTCTCTCTCTCTCTCTCACTGTAGTGGCATGTTGTACAAGAGTTGGAGCTGATCGAAAAATAAAACGATACATAAAACGTATTATTATGACACGAATAAGTTTAAACTTTATGTAGTCATTAGAAGAGAAAACGCATTTGTAAAATCGCATTGCAGTCGACATATATAAGATGAAAGAGTCTCATATGCCCCGGGCCGAGAACTCAATAATGGCGGGTCAGTAAATGTCTTTGGCTGACTAGTGACCGCCATTCAACCAAACAAGTATTGACACTACAGAAAGACCAGCTCTCCCTCACTTCACCCCCAACAAAAGAACATTTCATAGCTCATCTCTATGTACAACATGCTACAGATCTTAGCCTTATTATCACCATCCACCACCTATTGTCACTCAAGTCATTACCCACCCCACCTTCTACTTTTAACGGTGTATGACGACGTGAACACCAACAAGAAAGACAAGCAGGGATTTCCCCAGATCTATGCAGGTCATGTCTATTTTTAGAATCGTCTATTATACACAAGCCTAGAAACCAAGAGCTACCAGTACACATAGCAGACAGAGCTTTGAAGCTGTGTAAAGCAAACATTCTCTGGTATGTAAAGATACGATATCCAGTTTTAGTGTGTGTATTTTTAATTGTATCGTCTAATGCCACTATAGCGGATATAAAATGGTATGTCTTTTTATTTTAACCCAAAAAAATATGCTCATGTCTCGAAGAAATGTTAATGATTTTATTTAGAAAATTTAAAACATTATTATTTCAATTCTTTCTTTATGTTATAAACATTACGTATTTTATTTTTTATTTTCTTAAGCTCGTTAAATTTAATAGCATTAAATGCTTTTTACATATTTAAAAAACAATATTGTTGTATCGCTTGTACAATAAGGGGGGGTCATCCATAAATGACGTCACGCTTTTTTTTACTATTTTTACCTACCCCCTCTCCTCCGTCACACATCGTAACAAAAAGCCAGACCCCTCCCCCCCCCTAAAAAGACGTTACACCTCAGCCTACAAACACCCCTCCTCAAAATCGTAGTTGAATTTTTTGAAAACATGGATACTTTTCCAAATATTTGTCTGAACTCTGTCAAATTAGAATATTAGAATCTATATCAATTCCTACTGCAATTTATTAAAAAAAAATTCTAAAATGCGAAATAACGTCTAAAATTCGTTTTCTAATATTGCTTTTTATTTTCTCGTATATACGAAGTATAGAGAAAGTATTGTAATCGTGCAAAAAAAAAATCGAGATTTTTACAAATCTCGACGTTTTACACCTCACTGATACGGAAAAACATAAATTTGCAATCGTGTCCGTATGTCTGTGTGTGTGTGTGTCTGTCCGTGTGTAAACACGATTATTGAGTACCGTTACAGCTAGGTTGATGAAATTTCATATATAAGTATATATCAAATCGTAGATCCGTCTCAACTTTTGAACCATTTCCGATAATCGGAGGTGGTACTTTTCCTACTTTGAATTTTTCAAAAGCCTATACCTTGAGTACTATTTCAGATAGATAAATGAAATTTCACATGTAAGTCAAAGATCTAATTTTCTACCTTCTGTTAAATTTTGAGTAATTTCCGTTGACCGGAAGTAGTAATTTACGCTACTTCCGATTTCTAAAAAAACTAATGTAAATTTTTAAAGTACTAATAATATTGCGCACTATTATGCAAATTTTTATATGGTCAAACCCCCTATGATCAAACCCCCTATGGTCAACGCACCGCTATGGTCAAAGGCCCGCTGTGGTCAAACCCCCTATGGTCAAAGCCCCTATGGTCGAAGCTCCGCTGTGGTCAAACCCCCTATGGTCAAAGCACCCGTGGTCAAAGGTCCGCGCACCCCTTATTATCACCATCCACCACCTATTGTCACTCAAGTCATTACCCACACCAACTTCTACTTCTAGCGGTGAATGACGACGTAAACAACACCAACATGAAAGACAAGCATATATTTACCCAGATCTATGCGGGTCATGTCTATTTTTAGAATCGTCTAGGTAAACTTAATCCTAGAAACCAAGAGCTAAGAGTACACAGACAGAGCAACATTAGAAGCAGTGTTAACTTAACCTTCTCTTGTAAGTAAACATACTATAACCAGTTTAGCGTGTGTGTTTTTAATTGCACTGTCTAAGCCACTATAGTAGATATACAATAGCATGCCTTTTTATCTTAACCAAAAAGAGTAGGCTGTGTTCAAATCTTTTAGAAATGCTAATGATTCTATTTTGACAATTTAAAACATTAATATTTCAACACTTTCTTTATTTAATAAAGATTACGTATTTTGTTTTAATTTATTATTTTTAAAGCTATTTAAATTAAATAACAGTTACAAGCTCTTTACATATTTTAAAAACAATATTATTGTGTCGCTTGAATGATAACCACAACAGACGAAAAAATGTTTGGGGTCATCCATAAATCGCGGCACGCTTTTTAAAACAACGTTTACCTACCAATAACATGCTGTTACAGGTCGTCACAAAAAGAAACAGATTTAGTAGGAGACCACAAACAAATGTGGCCTGTAATGGATTGTACAGTACAACTTTAACTTTAGTATATATATATATATATATATATATATATATATATATATATATATATATATATATATATATATATATATATATATATATATATATATATATATATATGTATTATATATATATATATATATATATATATATATATATATATATATATATATATATATATATATATATATATATATGCTATTATTATTGCCATATCAAAGCAGTAATTTGTGCCTCTTTTAGTAAAGTATCCATTAAAGCCTGACAGTCCATAAGGCAGATAAAGTGCAGTGTTTCTTCCAGACTTTTTTCACCGTGGGGGGGGGGGGGGGCTGGTAGACTTTCTTAGAGGAGATGCATGGAAGAAACTCTGATAAAGTGGAGTTAAAATATTTCATTGACCTCGGCATATGAACAGTAGTGTAGCACTATGTCCAGCAGTTTTTACTTTCACCATCGTAAGTCAGGTACCCATCACAAGCGGGTGGAATAAAGGACGTCATATAGTCAAATGTCCGAACCAAGATTGGAACATCAGATCATTTGACTGGCAGCCAGTGTTTCTCCCAGACTTGAAATTTTCGGGGGGGGGGGGGGCGGTAGACTTTCTTCGGGGGGGGGGGGAGCTCAGGAAGAAAGATGCCTGGAAGAAACTCTGCTGGCAGCCAAAATAATAGGGGGGACACTGGTAGAAGTATATATTTAATATGCAAAATCTATTTCATTCATGGATGGAGGCGGTGAAGTCGCATGAGAGATGCCTGAAAGAAACTTTGTTCTTTCTTAATAATAAATAATGTAAAGCATTATTCTAGCTTGCCTACTGTTTTCTTTCTTTAAGCAAGGAGGATCATCTATGTGCCTGAATGGATTATCCAATCTTTATATTATATTATAATATAAATAATTATGTAAATATTTAGTCTTTGTAAAATAGTTTAAACAAAACATTCTATTCTAGCTAAATCTACGAATTACACTTTATACATCTTATAGATCCATAGACGACTACACTAATATATATATGGTTAATTTAGTATTTATTAGTAGACATACAGGTTAATGTAAACTTAAATTCAACACACAATCGACAATAGATTAAAAATTTGGCAAATAAAACTTGTAATGTCGATACTAAAAATGGAAGCGAGTGAAAGCATTAGAAACAATAGTATTAGATTATGCAAAACTAATAAATAAAAAATATTGATGTTTTTTGTATTTGTTGTATATCTGGCATGCATTTAATTAAATAACTCAATTTGTAATTAAAAATCTAAGTAGTTACAACTTGAAGTCTAGTGTTTTTATCTTAGTATCGATGCTATTATGTTCAGCCTATATAAATAAGTAATAATTTGTAGCAGACGTTCGCACATCCTTTATCGCCCTCCACTAAATGCTAATGGAGCTGCCTTCAACTGCGGGTTCAGTCGGATTTAAAAATAAAATGAAACCCAGATCTTCAAAGTAATAACCACGTAATACTGATCAATTAAGAAATGGGAAATGTTAAATTTTAAAATTTTAAAATAATTGTATCATTTTAGTAATCTATTGCGAAAATTGAGATTCTAGACTAGATATATATTTTTCTAGATCTAGATTCTAGATCTAGAGAATCTAGATCTAGATCTAGAATAATTTAATAAGATCTACATCTAGATTGAGATCTAGAGTGCCTAGCAGAGGCGTAGCGAGGGAGGGGGGCGGGGGGGGGGGACATATGTCCCCGGGCGCCGACCTTAGGGGGGCGCCAAATTGAAAGTTTGAGGGGGGGAGGGGGTGCAAATGAAAAGTTCGAGGGGGGGTGCAAATCGAAAATTGGCTCCCGATGGGGGCGCCAAATTGAAAGTATGTTCCCGGGCGCCGGGAAGGGTCGCTACGCCTCTGGTGCCTAGATCTAGATATCTAGATCTAGAATATAGTCTAGATCTAGAAATCTAGATCTACTTCTAGATTTACTACCTTTCTAGCTTTAGATCTAGATTTTCTAGATTAGAATAAAATCTAGACTAGACCTAGCTTCTAGATTAGATCTAGTTTCAAGATAGTTCTAGATCTAGATCTATATCTAATTAATTATAATTTAGATCTAGAATCTAGTCTATATGAAGATTTCTATATCAAATGAGTCGGGAAATGACAATACTTTAATTAAGACAATTATGCTATAGATCTAGACTAGATCTATCTAGATTTAAATTTATCCAGATTTGGATAGGCCTATAGAATCTAGGCCCTACATTTTTGAAAAAAAAAATAGTCCAGGAATCTAATTTTTAATTTTAACTAGATCTAGATCTAAATCTAGATCTAGTACAGTCACTGATCTAGATTCTAGATGTAGACAAGGATGACCAGCTAGATCTAGCTCCTAGGTACACTTTTAGACTGAATCTAGATCTAGAATCTGTATGATATCTTCCTAAGCAAAATACAATTTACATTATTCATAACAATATATTTTGAATATATTTATAATAACAAACTAGATGTAAGTCATGTAGATCTAAGTCTTAAGTCATTTTACATTGTAAATCTAGAGTTTTCTAGTACTGAAGCCTAACATATAAGGCCTTTATTTGTGCAAGATGGCATTTTTGAGATTTATAGGGGCTGATCTTTCAATTTTGATGTAGATCTAGATCTAGAATCTAAGTATTTTGTTTCAATAATTGACTGTGTTAGTTGGCTATCAATAAGTGGACCTAGATCTACATCAAATATGAATGTATATAGGACAAATTGATTATCTTTTCAATGTTGATCTTGATACATTTTATTTAGGCCTAACAATTCATTTGAAATACTAACCATTTTTAAGTCACTACTGTTATTGCATGAACATGCTCTATTCACTTGATGTTCATAATAGTTCAAAGTTAAATGTAGTACCGAACAAGATTCTTTTAAGAAATATTTTTATTTTAAATGTGTTTTAACTTTATCTGAACTTAAGTGTATTCTAAGCTAAGTAGGTTAATAAATGTATCCACAGAAGATGTTGAAATTTACATTGTGTATAATACTTGTTTAAATAACTTACAGTTCCTAGTCACCATTTTCAATGTTTAAACACAACACTTGATATAGTTATTAAATATAGTGGAGGAAAATTTACAGCATATAAACTGATAAGGTTATTGAGACTATATGGTTTACTAAAAATTGCAATTAAACTCAATATTGATTAGCTTACATTTAACTTAAACTTTCTCTTCTACTTCTAGGCTCACACTCCTGACTTTTATGAAAATACATTATTTTTTTAAATTAAATATTGATCAACATTATTTCCATGAAAATAATCAGATGCTTTTGTTTTCAAGGCTTAGTGGACAATTGTGAGTGACAGCTGGTTGATATCCAAACATTTGTAGACAAGTTAAGCAGGTAATTTAATTAAGTGTTGCTGCTTTTTAAGGTCTCATTTTCAAATATAACTCCTTCTTAAGAAAAATAAATAGTTGAAAATCACAAATAATTTATTAAAATCTTTATCAAAAGCTAATATCAAATAATTAATAAGCTTGTATGTGCTATGTTTATAGCCAAAAAATTATCAACAGTGTTTTTATTTGTGGTATCCATTTTAAGTAGCTTTTTCACTATTTTGTAGAAACAAATATATTTTAAGTTACAATACTACATGTTTATTAAACTTGAGCAACTTTTATCTGCAGATGTAATATTAATTCTGCACTTATTAAGCCCTAGTTACTATTTTATATTAATGATCTATAATCATATCTACAGTAAAACAAACCATGAAAACCCCAAACAAAGTGAGAAAAAGAAATTTGGAGCCATCATGTACACCTGAAGGTAGAGCCAGATAAATGATAAATCATTCTTTTGACCAAATCTTTAAGTAACTTTAGCTAATTTATAAATTATTGTGGCATTTTTAACATTCAAATACTTTAAAAATCAACTCCTTAATAACCTATATGTAATATTTATTAGTATTAGTGTAAAAACAAAATGCTCAATACCCAATGAATTCTATGAAAATGTATTTTCTTACATACCTGACTATGTACTATAAGAGGGTATTAATCAAGCTATAAGAGTTTATCTCAGTAATGCCACATTTCCTGTCACTGTAATTATAAAATAATGTATGTTTTATTTTCTTATTATTTTATTTTAGTTGTGTCATACTGTGAGAGTCCAAGTAAAGTTATCAAAAGTGACCAAACAGGTGTCTTTAATCCAGGTGAGATATGATAAACATAAGTCAACTCTAGTCTAAACAATTATAAATCTGTGCTAGTATAAACACGTAGATGACTTTAGTACAGTAAATGTAAAGTTGATGAAATGAAGGACATGGTAAAAGTTTAATTAATATATATATATATATATATATATATATATATATATATATATATATATATATATATATATATATATATATATATATATATATATATATATATATATATCAGCTTTCTAAATGTTAAATCAAGTGTTATTGTAAATATAGTATCGCTAATGAAAATACATATAGGTGCATTTTATATCAGTGTTTAAAATTGTTAGGCTGTTTAAACAATCTGTTTCCCCTATTCCTGTAGGAAATCATGAAGCTGAGATGTGCTATGGAGGAGAAGCTGATCTACACAAACATGTTACTGGCTGTAAGAAGAATCCAGGTCACAAAGGTTTTATACCTCTTAAATATTTCAACGCAAATTGTCTCCCCTCAAGTTACCATGACGACGACCTCTTGTTTGAGACAATCAAAACATTGGCAGCCCTAACTGTCCAGATAAAGACTAAATTCACCAGTCTAGAGAGACCAGAGTTTTACCCAGGCACTCAAGTTCCATATCCATGTTATAATAACAGAGGAAGTCACGTGATGAGGTTAGGGACGGGGAGAGTGAGATATGTGAATAAGTACACAGAGAGTGACATGGGAACTTGTCGTTGTGCCAAGTGTCAAGTCTCTGCCACACCCAGCAAAGTGTGGTTGTTGGTTGGTGTGTTGACAGCCACACACGTGGTGTTTGATGACAGTGAGGCGAGACAGACCAGGTGTGTTTTAGGTTATGATGACAATAAAAGTCCAGTGGTCAGTCTTGATGGCTGGGAGATGGATGAGGCAGACATTGAGGGAGACATGTGTGAGTTGAGTTATGTGACATGTGACTTAGAGTTGCTTGATGAACTGGACAAGAAGTGTGAGCGCTTTAGAGATCTATGTGGGGAAGTAAGGAGATTTAATGATGTGAATAAGTTGACCGTTATAGTGTCACATCCTCATGGCTGTCCTAAACAGGTCTCTGTAGGACAATGGACACACAAACGTCAGAGGGATGTTAAACGAACAAACTGTACCAGGTACTGGTACACAACATGCACCTGTCCAGGCTCTAGTGGAGCGCCTGTCTACAGGCTGGAATCTGACGGGTGGTTGTATCACCATCCCCATAGTGGATCAAACCCTGAAGGAAATTATAGTGGGGAGTTCTGGTACTCAGATGACTGTTAGTTCTCTCCCCTTGTCTACATAATTTAAACAAACAAAATGGCGGAACCTTTTCCGTCATTAAACTGTTTGTGTAAAGACGTGCATATGTTGTAAATATTTTATAACATGTAAATTGTTAAAACAATTGTTTTGATTGATTCAAACCGTTTAACCGTTGTAATTTGCATCTACCATATTGTATTTTACGCAGTTAACATGTTTAATGTTGTAGACATTTTGTGTTTAACACATGTCGGCAAAGTTCTTGTTCTAATCTTACCATGAATTGTATCTTTACATATTTCATTTCTTGCTCTTCTTATTTGTTTACAAAATTATTACATACTAGAAAATAAATGCCCAAGATAAAACTTATTTATTTTGTTTTCTTAATTTCATTTTTATAGACTAATTAGAGTTAGCAAATTGTTATCAAACAACTTTTTGATACTGATGTTGGTATTACCGTCATGCTGTCGTTGGTTTTAAAACATTCCCAATTCATTGTAACGACAAGGCCGACATGTAGCCTATATATGGATAAATAATGTCTAGTAATGATCAATTTCAATGAAGTGAAGTTCAAATAAACTTAACTGATACCAGACACAACCGTTAAGATCTACATCTTGTGTTGTCCTACTCCAATAGAAATGTTAAGTGAGATCGGAGTTTGTCGCTCTGATAGACTGCCACTTGTGTAAACATTTTCTTTATTCTTATTTCTTCTAAATACTTTCAACAACTGGTGATAGAACACTCGCATGTTGAAATGTAAGTCTCTCGTTCCTGAGTCCATCCAGCTCTAATGGGTACCTGAATAAAATTGGGAAATATAAACCCGGCTGTGACCACACAGTTGATTCATAAGTCATGTTGAAAGAAATATATTAAATCTATTTCATCTGCTAGATTGACCTTCACATTTTAAAGATAACGTAACTTCCTTGGATTTTATGTCAAAACTTTGTAAATATTTGTAACATTACAAACAATGTAAACAAAACCAACGTTTCATATTGAGCTCACAAAATATTTTAAGATTGAACGGATATTTTTTATTTATAGAATATATTTTAGACTTATTTTGATACAACGGAAGTTGCTTAAACTTTGACAGAAAGCAGAGAATTATATTGTTTAATTACATGTGAAATTTCGTTTATCTAAAACAGTAATCAAGTTATATGCTTTTGAAAATCCAAAAGTAGAATGTTCCACTATCGGTTACTGGAAATCGCTGACAAGTTGATACAGAACTACAAACTTGATATAATACTTGTACTCTGAAATTTCATCAACCTAGCTATTACAGTATTCAAGTTATCGTGTATACAGACACACATACGCACACATAGACATGCGGACATAATTGCAAAGCCCAGTTTTTCCGATTCGATTTCGCATATATATTATTTTTTGCACGATAAAAATAAGTCCCCTATACTCTGTATATGATGAAGTACTGAGGTGTAAATCGATGAAAACTGTCATTTGATTTTATGTGAACGATCATAATACTTCCTCAATACTCAGTATACGAGAAAGTAAAAACGAGTACAGTCAAAGGGAAGCAACAATGAAAATATTTTAAGAGAAAAGATTTTCATGATTATCTTTCTTTTTTTTCCTGTAGTGTCAATAGTTTATGTCGTAAATCTCTCTATGCTTAGCACAGGAATATATTAACCTCCATCGTATTATAGGGGCATTCATATATTGTATAAATTGTGTTCCATAAAATGACATCTTCTTAATGTATTTAATGTTTTATCTTTGGTTATTTACTATTGGTGCCTTTAGTTGGCGCTGTACTGTAAGCTCTGCACGAACAAAGTGTCATGGTCAAAGGGAAATAACAATGAAAATATTTCACATTCAATCAAATTTCATGGTTGTCTTTCTTCATATTTAATTTCAGAGCCATAATTGTTTTGTCAACGTTATAGCAAACATCAATAAAAAAATACCAAAAGAGTTGCTACCGAATCAGCACCAATGAAGTCGTCAACTTGTGTCGTTTAAACCTTACAGAAAGAGTCTTAAAGTGGCTATAACTACAATAGTGCCAAGCTGGGTAGCCTACAAGGAGACAAGTTATTGTACACTGTATCAAGTGCCCAATCCGTTTGGTTACTTTGAGAGAAAGCAATGCATTTTAAAGATTACAACAGAAATTTTAAACAACATTTTAACACGTTTTCTCTGCCGCCCACGGATTGATATTAAAGTCCAGGCCAGGCTTAGATGATGTAACGGGCCTGTTAGGGGAATTCAAGACAATATATATTAACATGCAGACAATAGGTAGGCCTACAGCTCTATCAGAAAGAGAAAAAGACGTCAGACACGATTAGACGACTACATAAAACAAAATAGGACCGGCTCTTTGTACTAGTGTCAATGAGTGCAACACCGATGTAGATACAAAAGGAATCTCTAGGTGTGAGCTGTATGGCAAGGAATATGCATAGTAAAATTGTCTACCTGCATCGTCAAGAAAATTATTAGGATTGCTCCGATTTTCTTTGGCATGGCACTGTTCCTTGTTGATGTAAAGTACGCATCATTAAATACCGCATTCCACTGTGATACAACACATTAAAATACCCTCCATACAATACACTATACCCAACACGGCGTTTATTCCTAATAAAATAACGTTCGTTTTCTACAATATTTGCAACTTGGGAAAAAGAATGTAATCGAATTGAAAAAATAGTAAAAAGGCCGATAAAAAAACACATTGCTGAAATAATTTTATTATTTTTCTAACAAACCTTTGAATATAATATCAAAACGGAGTGTGTTTTATTTTGTGTATGTGTGTGTATGTGTGTGTGTGTGTTTGTGTGAGTATGTGTGTATGTTTTGTGTATCGAGTTACATTTTGCATCTTTATTTCATCCCTAGATCTATGCAACATCTATATTTAGCATCGATAAGGTCCTACGGGGATAACGCACATATCGGTTATTTCTAAACACCTGAACGAGGTGTGTAGATCTATGTGTAGCACAGCTCGAGGTGTATAGATCTATGTGTAGAACAGCGCGAGGTGTTTAGATCTATGTGTAGAACAGCGCGAGGTGTATAGATCTATGTGTAGCACAGCTCGAGGTGTGTAGATCTATGTATAGCACAGCGCGAGGTGTTTAGATCTATGTGTAGCACAGCTCGAGGTGTTTAGATCTATGTGTATCATAGTTCGAGGTGTTTAGATCTATGTGTATCATAGTTCGAGGTGTGTAGATCTATGTGTATCATAGTTCGAGGTGTGTAGATCTATGTGTATCATAGTTCGAGGTGTGTAGATCTATGTGTATCATTGCTCGAGGTGTGTAGATCTATGTGTATCATAGTTCGAGGTGTGTAGATCTATGTGTATCATAGTTCGAGGTGTGTAGATCTATGTGTATCATTGCTCGAGGTGTGTAGATCTATGTGTATCATAGTTCGAGGTGTGTAGATCTATGTGTAGCACAGCTCGAGGTGTGTAGATCTATGTGTATCATAGTTCGAGGTGTGTAGATCTATGTGTATCATTGCTCGATGTTTGCGTTAAAATGATTGGCACTTTGAAAATTGTTTCAGTCGAAATGTAAATAGAACGATTTATAAATAGAATTATAATGAAATTGCGACTACTTGAGCCTGGACGTTTTGCTCGTGTACTCTGTTCTATCTCTGATGGTGTCATTTGAGGGAGAATCGGGAATAATTTAATTTCAGCAGTTTTTCCCGCTTTATATTCCCCATGATCAACAAAGCTGGTGTTATAAGTGTTTCCCCAATGGTTTGTCGTTTACGATCAGGTAAGCAGCTTTCAACGATCCAGTGATAATCGATTTGTTGATGGGCACAAAGCATAGAGCAAGCAGAATATACTTGTTATCGAATTTAGCTCTCTTCACCTTTAAGAGTTTTTAAAATCTGACGAGCATTTCATAAAAACCAGCTTTTTATTATATTATAATTAACTGCAGGCCAACCCGTATTATTCAACCTACCCATTGTCGTAACTAAATATTTACATTACATTATGTTAACGTACACATAGAGACGATGTAAGCGTCTTGTACACGGGTCAATTAACCTTGCATTACTCTCCTATTACTCACCTCAACTGAATTATACCCATATGAGTTACCCAACCCATTCTGTTAAGTACAAACATTATACCTAGTATAAGTAAAATTTAAAACTCAGAGCACTTTTTACATCCAATACATTCCGGGAAGCGTCAGGTACATGCTGCTAGTTTTTTATTTTTTAAAAAATGTGTTTCAGCAGAAGAATGTACATGGTTATTACAACACACTGGTGATATTCCTACAATGTAACCCAACAAACTTGGTACTGTGACATATCTGGGCTAGGGTTAGAAAATACATGCGTCAGTTTTTCAATTGTATTCTTGAAATAGCTAAATCTATTATAGGTCTGAATCATCACATATGTGATTGCCATATGACTACACTGTACTAAAGTGAGGCTAAATTCATCTACCAGATTTTTCATAATGCGTGTCTCTGCCTTTTCACTATATAACAACATAAGTTTTCATAATACACAATTTAATCAACAACTCTGTTTTGCTTTTGACAGCTCCTGCGACCGAGCTGATGCCAGGTTGTACATGTAACTCCTCTCTCTTGGGTCCATTAGTTGAGTTGATTGATGTGACCTGATGCAAGGGTGATAACTGACTCTTCTCAACTCACTAACCAGATATGTTTTATGTAGCTGCAATTATTCAATATTCTGTCACATCATAGAGCTAATTACTATAATATTTAACAATTCTTACAATTATAATTGTATTCATGTATAGAGATGTAAATGTATATGTATAGGCTTTATATATATATATATATATATATATATATATATATATATATATATATATATATATATATATATATATACATATATATATATATATATATATATATATATATATATCAGGGGCGTAGCGAGGGGGGTCGGGGGTTGCGGACAGCACCGGGTGACACCATTTAGGGGGGGGGGGGGGTGACACCAATGCAAAAAATAGCAAAATATATAGAGAAAAACTTGAAGGGGGCGTGCAAATCGAAAGTTTGAGGGTGGGGGTGCAAATCGAAAACTTGAAAGTTAGTCACCGGGAAGGGTCGCAACGCCTCTGGGGGAGGGGGGTGACACCATTAAGTGCCGCACCGGGTGACACCCGACCTTGCTACGCCACTGATATATATATATATATATATATATATATATATATATGTGTGTGTATGCGACCATTCCCGGCGCCAGGGGACAAACTTTCGATTTGCACCCCCCCCCTTCAAACTTTCAATTTGTTTTTCCAACCCATTTTGGCGA